GTAAAAGGAGAAGATTTAAAGTAGGTTTAAAGAAAGATTTGATAATTATACTAAGGTTTTAGAAAAGAATTTAATTAAATTTTATTAAATGAAATTATTAATATTTAGGCAAAATAGAAATAACTCAGAGAATCAAAATAAACTTCGCTGAAAGAGATAAAAACAACAAAATGGGGGCTAGGGATATAGTCCAGTGGTAAAAGGACTAGCCTAGCACGTGAGAGGCCTTGGGTTTGATCCCCAGGGCTGCAATAAAAACAATAAAAATTTAACCAGATGAAAAAAAATCAGAATAAAAACACCTACTAATATATAAACTTCTGATATCAAATTTTAACATATATATTCAATCTCTAATTTTACCATTTAAAGAACATTTCAAAAGATATGAAAATGTTTTAAAATGGCTTTTATTACTAATAAGGTTACTTTTTAATTTTGCTTCAGTACTGAAACTGTCAATAAAATAGAAAAACTAGGAGGCTAGCTAAAATATTACCATCCTTCTAGTTAAAAATAAACTATTTTTTAGACGAGATCGGGCATGTTCAGGGTGGTATGGCCGTAGACAAACAATTTTTCAAATGCAGAGAAATACTAAAATTTTTAATGAGGAAGAAAAAAATTTTCTCAGAAAAGAATGCTCCAGATTGTTGGGTTTGTTTATTTATTTACTTGGTACACCTGAAATTGAACTCAGGTCCTTATGCTTGTGAGGCAGGTGGTGGAACCACTGAGCTAAATCACTGGCCCTTACTGTTGGTTTTATATGCAAACACATTATCTTTATTTTTTTGGAGACAGGGTTTCACTACGTAGCCCAGGCTGGCCTCAAACTCCCAATCCTTTTGCCACTGCACTCTGAGTGCTGGGTTAATAAACATGTGTCACCATACCCAGCTGCTTTATCTGGTTCTTTAGCAAATATATGCTGTTTTTTTAAACTTCTATGTTCAAGCTCTCGGTCACCTCAAAGACAGGATTTGCTATATAATCCAGGGTGGGCTCAAACTGACAATCCTCCTGCCTTGGGCTCCTAAGAGCTATGGTTACAGACATATGCCTCTGTCATTTCATGAAATATTCTGGAAACATTCATTTTATAATTGTGTCAAATAACTGTAATACGTAAATTTTTTTGTCTTAATTGTCTTTATGGTTCTATTCTTGGTTTCTTGTTTTCTTCTGAGTTTTTTAAAAAAGGAGCTCAGTTTTCCTCAAATTTCGTCTGTCGATAATTCTTTGAGGTATGTTCTTTCAGAAGAGATTTAAATTTGAATCTCTTAGGTGCTTAGATGTTTCACTAGTACAGACTTTTCAATAAAAATCTGAATCAGTTTCTTTTTGGTTCTGAAATAATTAGAATTCTGGGTGGAAATCTAAGTGAAAACTAGCTCATGTTTATAAACTTGCATAGGAGGTTTATTTTCCCACCTTTAATCAATGATACATTTTAAGAGTTTTCTTTAACCCTCATTCCATGGAGCTGGTGTGCATTCATTTCTATTTACTCTTGTGCTAGGCATGAATCAATATTTAATTACAATTTAATCAGGGAGATGTGATGACCTCCTATTTGAAAGGGCTGTTGACTTTTTCTACATTAGAAAAGATCACAAGGGCCAGGGATTTAGCTCAGTGGTTTCACCGTCTGCTGCGCAACCACAAAGGCCCGAGTTCGATCCCCGGTACCAAAACAAAACAAAACAAAAAATAGAAAAGATCACCAATGAAAAAGCTTGAGTTTTCTTTCTGACTTTCTTGGATCCTATTTTCATTTCACCTCTGGCTTATATTTTCATTTTAGTTTTGCCTAACTGTGGACAGATTAAAAATTTACTTAACACTCTTAAGTTGTATTTATTTACAGATGAGTTGTTCACCTTGGGCCTACAGATGCCATAATGCCAGAATCAAAAGTTAAATACTATTATCTTTCACTGTTACTGTCTTTCTCATAGCATGACACCTATCA